CACGTAGAGAAGAGCTGGGACCCACCGGGTCCCACCGAGCCCGATTTGGGTCCCACCGTAGAGAAGAGCTCGTACCCACCGGGTCCCACCAAGTACGTATCGGACGCGTGCAAGGCTGGTGGCTTCGAGGGCGCGATTTTGGGTCCAGAAAACGTTCATGCTTCCGGCTTCAACATAGCGTGCCTCCATAGTAAAGGTTTGCCTTTGGGATTGTAGTACCCCAACATGGTTAAAGGTTGCCTACTCTACTACTATGATACAGAGGTCCTCATCATTGCTCAAAGTCTACTGCAGGGCCTGCGGCGAATTCGTGGGCAGTCTGGTAAGCCACGACGGGAAGCATTAGGTCTTGCGGGATGTGCTTTCGGGGTTCAGGGCTTATAGGGTTTGGGGCTGAAGATTTTCCGTTTTCAGTTAACGGTTCAGGGTCCAGAATTTAGAGGTTTTGGGCTAGGGTATGAGGTGTTTTGCGTGTTGGACTTCGGGTCTGCGGGCCTGTTACGGGGTTTGCAGGGCTTGGGCTGGGGGTCCCAAGTACATGAGTTACATAAGACGGGTCTCAAACTGGTTTATAAATCTTTACAGCTCCTGAACTTGTGCATTCAATCCCGGGACCCCTGAGGCTTTCAGAACTCGCTCCAAAGAACATGTGTTGCCTCGGCAGCGGCCAGCACTGCTAGGATTGTCTTTGTCACTCAGTTTGTCACAGCCTCAAGGCCTGAACAAGAGTGTATAGAGACAACCTCATCCATACACGGGCCTTTAATAATTCGACTGGGGTGTCTATACGTTGCTGGCTTATGGCTGTTCTCAGAGGGCTCTTAATTTCGGGCAAGACTCGTAGAATTCCCTCCGTTGAGCGTGTGAGTGGTGAGTGGTTGCTTGCATCTGTTGCTGGGTTTGCCGGATTTAGTTTGAGGGCCAGACTAATTAGAAGAGGGTGTTGGGATATGTTGAAGCTTGCCTGAGTAATGTTATGACTACAAGGAAGGGCACGGTCTTACTCATGATTCGGGTCGCTGCAACAGATCCTCGACTATGGTCGATCAGACCAACCTGAAAGACAAGAGCGCTCCACGCGACAATCGTGAAACCCGTCGCGAAACAACACAACACAGAAACATGTGATAAACCTCGATTTCCCAGTGACACGCAGTGGCGAAGGTGTAACACTCAACCCGGAAAAACCAACAGTAAACCCCGAAGTTACCGTAGGGAGATCATTCGGACCCTAAACCCTAAACCCTAAACCCTACCACTGCCTCTTGAAAGTCAACCTGCGGATCCCTGCAGGAAGCCGGAACCCTCCCTTCAAAGCCCGAAACACCGGAAACACAAGGACACCACACACTTAACTCCTCCATGCTCTGAGGGTCGCACCTTCGGTGGGAAACCTTTAAGAAGTCCGCCTCCATGTCAGCATCATGGGAGTGGCATTGAAGAGCTTACTATCATGTGAAAAATCACGGACAGTGTGTGATACTACTAGGAAAGAAAAACATCTTCTTCCGGGAGGTTGCAGGGTGTAGTTTTTTGGGCGGACTTCTCTGGGACTTAAGGCTCCGATCGCCTCAGCAACCTGCCACTGGATTACCGCTAAACCCTCAACCCTAAACCCTAAACTGGAGCCCTGGTGTGTCTGTATGGGGGAGTTTCCGAAAATAGGCGATCCTAATATAGCACCCTAAATAGTAGGATCCTTCTTATAAGAATCCCCAAAAATTAAGGTACCCTAATTTTCGGAAACTGCCTCCCGCAGATCAGGCTGCTCAACCTCGTCCTTGTTGATCCCTCTGCCCAGAAGCCCTGAACCCTCAACCCTAATGTAGGAGCCCTCGTAATTAGAATAGGGCTTTGGGGCCCTTTTATACTGCATAATAAGGACCCCCCCAAAAAAAAAAGAAAAAAAAAAAAGTATAGGGAATTATCTAGGCTTCTATACTATATTAACCCCAAACCCTAAAGCCCGCCTTGTGAAGGCAGAAGATGGGAGCATCCTTACCTTATCCTCCATGGAGAATGGCGAATCTGATGCCCGTAAGGCAGGCAGCGCGGGCTAAACTCAGGTAATATAGGGGTTTTAATAACTAGAATAGGGTTTGGGGGTCCTTTGAAATATAATTTTAATAAGGTGCCCCCCAAAAGTTTACAGCTACTTACTGAGGCCTATATTTGGGGAGGGGAGTCCTGACACGAATTATCCCTTCGACGAACCGTAATGCTGCAGGGTTTAGGGTTTAGGGTGCCTTAGATGATACAAAATGCAGAATTGTGCAATCGCATGCTGTTTTCCAACACCGTGAATGCTGAAGAATAAAGTACAAGTTATTTGCATCACTGATCCAGCCAGCGATTGAAAAGCTTCAACATTAGTTTGGAATCTCACACAACCGTGAAGTCATGAGACTTGGACACGCACGCCCTTTCGGCATCGGCCAAGACCTCTCAAAATAAAAATATGTCGCTCTCGGCAGGGTCTCTGTGTCTTGACCTCTTACAGCCACGACATGTAGCTGGGAATCCAGCAAAATCCTGACGTCGTGAGACCTGGACGCGGCTTCGGCGTCGGCCAATTAAATTAAAAACGTGTCAAGAATATTGGCGTCGTGAGACTTGGACGCGCCTTCGGCGTCGGCCAAGACCTCTCAAATGAAAAACGTGTCGCTCTCGGCAAGGGTCTCGGTGTCTTGCTGGCCTTTAATAGAGCAGACCTCGATCAACCACGATGGCGCGAGCATCTGGCGTGCCAGATCGGATGCCGTGTTCTTGCGGTAATTTTGGATGTCTACTCGGGCTCGAGCTGACAGCAGGGAGGACACAGCATCCAGAGAACCACTCAGAATGCTGAACATCAGCGGCGTAGCATCGTAATGATGATAAGCCAGCAGAGTCAGTCTGGAAGAGCTTACCCGATGCCTCAGACCCATGAAGTTCATTAGAAGCCACCACCCGGGCTCCTGGATCTGTACTCGGAACTGCTCGTTCACATTCGCCCGGGCATCGAGCAAATCGGAAACCAAGTCGGCAGAACCGCATGAAGCGAACATGAGTGCGACGTGTAGGCAGTGTCGCAAACTCAAATCTGGATTCAGAGTGAGCATCTCCTTCATGGCACGCCGACTTCCGCATGCACATGAGATCATCAGAGGGCTCATTCCTGGCATGGCCTGCTGATTCACGTTGGGAAGAGCATGGCAGAGTAGACGTACTGCGTGTGGATTGTCCCCGGCACACGCGATATGGAGAGCATTGCCACCAAAACCATCCTTGTAGTTCACGTGGGCTCTGGCACACAGAAGCAGCTCGACAGCTTCATTGTTGCGAAGTAGGCAAGCTATTCCCAGAGCCGTTAGCTTCGCGGGAAGATTGACTTCTGTTGCGGGCTTGGTCGTAGCCTGGTCGATATTCACCTTTCGGTCAAGAAGCGCATCCAGCACAACGACGTTGTTGCTCATCGCTGCAAAGCAAATGGGCGGCCACCCTGCAGCATCCCGCTCGAAGATGTTCCTGGCGGCACCAATCGAGGACAAGTATGGAGTCGTGACTTTCAGAAGTTTAGGGGCTTAGCATCTTGGGTTTCCAGGCTCCTGAAGCAGTTCTGATGCAGGAAACGTTCCAGCATGAAGCCCTTGCAGTCAACACTCGGGTCGGTCTCAGTGTGGAATCCCGGAACAAGGCCGTCAATGGGCTCCACGTCAAGAGAACGGAAATACTGCGCCGTTTGTGCGTTCAGAAGGAATCGGTAGTTGTGCAACTGTCGATGCTCGAGGTAATAGAACAGCTTGGACCACACCATCTGAGTAACAATACGACCGATGACCTCCCGGTCGCCATCTAGCGTAAACTCTCCTTCACCAGGTGCATCCCTCATGCTTAGTCCTGCCCACAGCACGGTCTGGTGCACGGCGCTCTCCACAAGGATGACGTAGCCACTTTTGCGGGTGGAGAGTTCGCGTGCAACTCGCTCTGTGCGACACCACCTGGATTGGTTTGCAGGAGAAAGAACCGGCAAAACTTAGGCCTAGGCGGGAACAGGTGTATCGTCAAAGGAAAAAACACGCAAGTGCAACTCAGCTACCCTCTTTCGCCCCAACTGGCATGGCTCAAAGTCCGCTCCTGATCTCTGTGCTGCAACGCCGGGC